AGTTTACATCGTATTTATTACATACAGCTGTTCTTTGTTTCATTATGAGCTATAATGGTTGTAAAAATTAGGCTAAATGTATCCTTACGTTTTTTACTTCTTGTCCATCAAAGATTCAGAAAGATATAAAGGCTAAACTGCAATACCTGAAATTAAAATGAAATCTTAATTTTATCATGAAATGTGTGATTCTTACATGTTTAAATTAGTCTACTTAATAAAAAATCTCACATTACATCATCAGACCTCGTATAATAATTCATTTCATGAAATAAAAGCAGACGTTTTGATGCACAAATGCATAAGACAAAAGTAAAGCAATATTTACATTCAATTACTTGGATTGGAAGACATCACTACTATTTTTTCTATTTCAATCTGACTGCACACACCTGATGCAAATTATCACCTTTAATATAAAAACAACATACATAAAATTATTCCTTTTCAGAATGATTTTATCCTATGTTTATACAAAAGCTTATTGAAATAATAGCTGATTCTTTGCAGATGAGAACTTTATATTAACTGGTAACTTAACTAATACCATAATATTAAACATTGAAGTTAAAAATTTAGTATGCAGCAAATTTGACTTGTGAAATAAAGTTGCTATTTAGGTGTTTCATAAAAATGCGACTTGTCTAATATGAAGAAAATTTTCATTGAACAACGTGGAACTTAAGTTACTTGAAAATAAATAAAGTACTTGACTTGAATAACTTTAGATAACTAGACTTACATTTTCCAGTTTAATTAAGTTATCTCTTCTAAAGTTTTTCATTTTAATATTTATTCACATACAATGCAAATTTTCCACCTGAAATAAACAAAACATTTAATATAGTCAATATTTTTTTTTTGTAGATATTGCACGAGCTAATTTATGACCTATCTGCGCTTCCGTAGAAAAAAAAAATGGAACAGACCCTATATTATCATTGCATTTCTTGAAATATTTTACGATATAAATAAAGCATCTACACACCATTATTCTTTATAAGCACTATAAGTATTATATTTTATCTAAGATGCCGATTTACTTCGCATTTAAGATACTATTAGTATTTGACTGAAATGAATCTTCCGTTATATGCTTGATTTGATTCGGCGTAACAGACGAATATAAAGTCTTAAAAAAATAGTTACGTTAATATTTATACTGCAAACTATAATAGTTGTTAAAATAAATGATAAAATAACATAATTACCGTCAAAATAAATCCAATCCATGTAAAACACAAAAATTCTTTAGGATTTTAAACAAAAGGCCGCCATGTTACTTGTTGTGTGACGTCACTAAAACCCGCGTGTACAAACAAATATTTTTCGTATGGTGTACAGTAAAGAACACAACCAAAATTGCAATTTAATTTCAAAATAAATGTCGATTTAAAAGTTTTCTGCATAGAATTTTTTTTGGGACTTTTTATGATAAACATAACAATATCATTGCTTTCGCATGACACAAAAAGAATTTCTGTTGCAATTAGTTCTATCCCATACGCTTCTTTTATCGGACTATATTTATTTATTTATTTATCTATTTATTTATTTATTTATTTATTTATTTATTTATTTATTTATTTATTTATTTAATTATTTAATTTTGGATCTAACTATTATATTGAATTGCATGCAAACACACAAAGCGCAACAAATAAGACTTAACATATTTCAGCTAAAACGGGGGACAAATATAAATAAAAAAAACGGAGGGAAATCCATGAAACAGACTTTTTTTAACTATTTTAAAACAGAGAAACCTAAACTGAAAAATATTTTTCAATTATATCAGGCATTATTTATATTAATGTCTGTATCGAACGATTGCACGCTGATATTTAAGAAAGAGCGTTTTCTGTCTTAAGTTTACACTTTAAGATACCCCTATGCGGTGGAAAATCATAGCTTTTTAATAAAATTTACACCATTAGACGCGGAAATTATTTAGGAAAAAAATGATATATAATTCAAGAATATTAAGTGTAAATATAATACCGTCCGTGTGATTATCACGGCACTACCCCAAAACCGTGTGATAATTACGACCCTGCGTAATAATCACACGCGTGGTAATATTACCACGCGTGTGATAATTACGCGACACCGGTCCAAAATTTTTCTTTATGAAACGCAACCCTGACCTGAACATGGCAATGATATGCGCATCTCATCTTGGTATTAATAGTTCTCATAAAGTTTCATTGTATTCCAGCCAGATGTTGCAGAGACAAAATAGTGCGTAAACAATTATTGCACCATATGCATACTGTATTACTTATTAAGGGCCATAACTCTCATTTGAAGGGTCTGACTGGGACAAGATGAGTATATGCTCATCTCCTATTGGTATTGATTGTTTCAAGAAAGTTTTCTTGAATTTCTTTGAGTGGTTGCAGAGAGATAGCACGGAAGCTATTATTACTCTATACGCATACTGCATAACTAAATAAGGGACATAACTCTGTGATTTAAGAGTCTGACCAGAGCAAGGCAACAATATAAAGCATCTTCTCCTCTTGGTATTGATTTGGTTCCGCAAATAAAGTTTCATTTGAATTTCGTGCAAAGTTAGTTAAAGATAAATAGCATGGAAACGATAATTGTTCTATATGCATACTGCATAATTAATAAAGGGCCATTAAATCGCTGTGTTGAAGGGTCTGCCAGAAACTAGATGGCCTATATTGCTCATCTCCTATTGGCAATTTGATTGTTTCTGCAATTCAGACAGTAGTTCCAGAGAAATAGCACAGAAAAATGATTAATGCTCCTACACGAATAACTGCATAACGTAACCAAGGGCCATAACTCAGTGTTAAAAAATAAGACTGAAACAAGGCAAGGATATGCGCATTTTCCATTTAATATTGGTGGTTTTCCAATTTGCAATTGATTGTTTACACAGATTCCTGCCAGTGGTTGCTAAGAGATACGATTATTACTCTATATGCATACCGCATAATTAACTAAAGACCATTACTCTGTGATGAAGAGTCTGACCTAAGCAAGGCAACAATATGCGCATCAACTCTTTGTATTGATAGTTCCCATAAAGTTCCATTGAATTTTCGCTAGTAGTTGCAGAGAAATAGTAGGGAAATGATTATTGCTCTATATGCATACTGAATAACTAATCAAGAGCCATAATTATGTGATTAAGTCAGGCAATAATATGCGCATCTCCTCTTGGTATTGAAAGATCCCATAAAGTTTTGTTGAATTCTAGCCAGTGGTTGCAAAGACATAGCACGGAAACGAGTATTGCTCTTTATGCATAATCAGGGGCCATAACTCTGTGTTGAAGGGTCGGACCGGAACAAGGCGACGATATGCGCATTTTCTGTTGGTATTGATGATTCCCATAAAGTTTCGTTGAATTCCAGCCAGCAGTTGCAGAAAACTAGCGCGGAAACAAAATTGGAACGGACGGATGGACGGACGGAAGGACAATGCCAAACAATACCTCCTCTCGATTCCATCGGCGTGGGATAACAAAACTGGCAGATTTTCCTTCCATACGGATTGCTATATCTTGATCGTTCCGCTTTTGCAATAATCTTCAAACATATGTTGAGATATTTATGAGCACATATCGGCATAAGGTTTGTTATCTGATGATATGTTTTTGCTCATAAGCAATGGATTATAACATTTTCATTTCTTAATAACGTCAACGAAAGATGTAGATGTTCTGTTCCTGGTAAATCCATTTATTAAATTTCTTTGATGCTCTTTTAAACAGATGGAATCGTCAAACATTTATCTCAGTTTCAAAGGCATTCTAATGTTTAAACTGGATAAATGATATAAAAGGAGTGACATCTCAGTCCGATTCAATGTAAGAAAATAAATATATTCATAGCTGCCAAAAAACAGACTTTCAAAGAAACAAAATCAGCAAAAGATATGTGATGTATATGGCAAAATAATATTTTTTGGGAACTGTCACAAGATACCAAAAATATAATAGTTTTTGAAAAATAAAAAATGATAGCATTTGTGAGGCCTTTAAAAAGCATGCGATTGTCTTTTTGCAGCTGTGGAAGATATTGTTTAATTGTTCAAAGGACGTGAAAGTAAGAATCGTTTTATTTGTCCTTATGCGAACAATAGCAACATATCGGTCGCCGGACAATCGTTGAGGTGTTTCAAAGTTAAAGGAATAGTAAATTTTGGTACACGGTTCACTTGGTCATATATTAGTTTTTGGTGATATTGTAGCTATTGTGTTTATGTTTCAAAACGTGAAATAGTAAGGCGCTACTCAGTAAACAATTAACATTTTAAAGTATATAAAATGGAAAGAACTACTGTGTTTTAGTGTTTAATATGACGTGAATAATATTTTCCGATTTTTCTTTCTAGCTCGATGTTAACTTGTTGTTTAAGAAATCGTTCTTTAAGCGGAGTATACACATTGCATTTTTCGTAGATTGCTTCTGATGATTTAAGGCTTTAAATGAAATTCATTAACTTTATTTTGATACGCACAAATGGATGCCGCCAGAAATCATCCTCACACTGGCTGATGATTATCCATTAGAACATACACGGTTTATGAGACAAAAGAGATGGCGAAGTAAAAACTAAAAAATGACATATTTTCTGAAAGCCTTAGTGTTTGTCTGAATTTGGGTTTTTGAATATATTCTTCATGATATAGTGCGAGTCACTTGGTTTGCCCATTATTGAATGCCAGCTTTGCCAATGTGCCTTTAACAATTCTACATTGACATATTTTAAAATATCTGCTTCGAACCAGCGGCAACTGAATAATGCTAAGTTTTAAGAATTACCGTTTCTCTGTTTTCATGCTGGACGTTGTACTTGTATGAGTTTTAACAAAATTATGATACAAATTTATCATATGCTCAGGTTCATAATTGTTTTATCTAAAATCCATATGAGGTAAGTGGAAGACGTTAATTGGATATTTCATATTATAATATGCATATTTGCATATTCGGAAAAAGTTGATAATAATTGTTACTTACTGTGGATAATTCAGGATCCTACAAACAACAGTTGCATCACGCTCATCAAAATCATCATGGCAGACTGTTCCCCACCGCTTATTATGCCAAACTTCTAGTCTCCCTTCAAATTGATTTGACCCGTTCACCAATCGAACATCTAGAATAGCATAAATTATATTTGATATTTTTGCATATCAATTAGGATGATCATAATTTCTACATTTTTCATAAGCATAAACTATGGTAAACAAGATCAACAAGGAAATGCGGCGTTCAATGAACGCAACCTCACACGATCAAACAACAAGAGGCAGTGGCAATGAGCCCAGGAGGACCCAAAACAAAAACAGGACAAGGCAAGGTCTGTATATCTTCTTGTTAATAACAACACTATTTCAGTGAAGTTCGAAAACAATTCCATCAATGGAATATGTAATTTTAAAGCAATCGCGGAAGTGTCTAACATTTGATCTTAAGTCGGAACATCAGCGGCATTGGTTCTGCACGTAACATTATTGTGGTTTATTCTTGAGCAAAGTATGAAGAAAATAGGGATTAAGGATCTATAGTGGACAAGGTGGATTACTACAAATGAGCATTGTAGGGAAACTCATTATTTTTAAATGTTTCCAATTAAGCCATGGCATGAAAATAATAATAGAATTTACTCTATCTACTATTATGTTCGGTACCAAATGTCTTCTTGTTTGTCCAGACAGTCTTGCGGGTCGACAAACTTACCGACGCAGCAAATTTGTTCAAGTAGAGCCCATCCAAACTATGTGATCTGGGGATCGAATATGTTAATAAGCGGTCAGTGGGACATAAAAACAAAACACAAAAACAAACAAGATTGCATTTGAGAAAAATGCTATGCAACCCCATTAATACAACACTAAATAGTAGTGTAAGAACAGTTTTTTTTGTTTCTATACAAGTGAAGTTTGTCATAATGCATAGATCCCTGACCTATCTAATTCTTATTATCATATCAGTGGTTAAATATATTGTTAATCCAATAAAAGATCAGAGTAGGAATATATCAATGCACTTGAGTCTAGTGAATTTGGTGGTGAAGGTCATATTTCACACAGCCTAAATTTGATGACAACATAAAAGGACAACACAGTAAGACACTTTGTCAAAATCTAGGTCAGCTGATATCAAAGTTCACTTTACATCTTAATCTGTGCACATGGTTCAAATTTCATAGCTATACATCAAAGGACAAGAAAGTAGGTCACGTCATCAAAATCAAGGTCACCTGATATCAAAGTTCAACTTTACTACTAAAACTGTACACATGGTCAAAATTTCATTGCTGTTCATCAAAGGACAAGAAAGTAGGTGACTGTACCCTTGGGCAAGGCACAATTTTGACCCAAGGGTTTAATTCAAAACAATCTTGATACAGGTCCACCAAACAACATTTCAAGTCAAATATCTAAGCTGTAAAACTGTTTAGAAAAGAAAACATTTGTTTTATTTTCTGTTTTTACTACGTGTACATAATGAGAATCACTGCCCCCGGGCAGGGCCAATTTTGACACCAGGGGAAAAATTTGAACAACGTTGGTAAAGGACCTATAGATGATATTATAAAACAAACATCACAGCTCTATGACTTGAACCTTCAGACAAAAACATTTTTTATTTTTTTACTATATGTACATAATGAAAATCAATGACCCCGGGGCGGAACCAATTTTGACCCAAGGGCTATAATTTGAACAATCTTTGTACAGGTTCAATTCGCAAATTCTCATGCCCTATATTTAACCTCTAGCCTTTGTCAATTCAGAGAAGAAGATTTTTCAAGTTTTTACTTTATACATAATTATAAGGAAAACTATCGCCTCTGGGGCAGGGCGATTTTAACAATAGGGGCATAATTAAAACAACTTTAGTAGAGGACCCATAGATGATATTATATACAAAATATCAAAGCTTTAAGGCTTGTACCTTCAGACAAGAAGATTTTTAATTTTTTTACTATATGTATATAGTGAAAATCAATGACTCTGGGATGGGGCCAATTTTGACCCCAGGGCTACAATTTGTACAATCTTGCTAGAGGTTCACTACACAATGTTTCATGCAAAATATCTTAACTCTAGCCTTTGTAAATTTAGAGAATTTTAAGTTTTTACTATATAAATATAATGAAAATCTATGGCCCCAGGGGCGGGGCTAATTTTGACACTAGAGGCAAATTTTGAACAACTTTGGTAGAGTACTTAAAGATAATATCATTTAACAAATATTTAAGCTATAAACCTTGTACCTTCAGACAATATTTTTTTTTTAATATTTACTATATGTATATATTGTAAATCAATGACCCCTGGGCGGGGGCAATTTTGACCCCAGGGCTTTAATTTGAACAATCTTGCTTGAGGTTTACTTCACAATGTTTAATACAAAATATCTTACCTCTAGCATTTGTCAATTGCTAGAAGATTTTTTTTAAAGTTTTTACTTTAAGTTTTTACTATATACATATAAGGAAAACCAATGACCCCCGGGGCGGAGCCGATTTTGACCCCAGGGCTATTATTTGAACAATCTGTGTAGAGGTCTTCCAGACAATGCATTATGCAAAATATCTAAGCTCTAGGCCTTTTGGGTCTTAACAAGAAGGTATTTTAAGTTTTTACTATATGTACATATAGTGAAAATCAATGACCCCCGAAGCAGGGCCGATTTTGACCCCAGGGCTATAATTTGAACAATCCTGGTACGGGTCTACCAGACAATGCCTAATGCAAAATATCTAAGCTTTAGGCCTTTTGGGCCTTTACAAGAAGGTATTTTAAGTTTTTACTATATGTACATATAGAGATAATCAATAACCCCCGGGGCGGGCCGATTTTGACAATGCCTAATGCAAAAAATCTAAGCTTTAGGCCTTTTGGGTCTTTACAAGAAGGTATTTTAAGTTTTTACTATATGTACATATATAGAAAATCAATAACCCCCGGGGCGGGCCGATTTTGACAATGCATTATGCAAAATATCTAAGCTCTAGGCCTTTTGGGTCTTTACAAGAAGGCATTTTAAGTTTTTACTATATGTACATATAGAGAAAATCAATGACCCCCGGGGCGGGCCGATTTTGACAATGCCTAATGCAAAATATCTAAGCTCTAGGCCTTTTGGGTCTTTAGAAGAAGGCATTTTAAGTTTTTACTATATGTACATATAGAGATAATCACTGACCCCCGGGGCGGGCCGATTTTGACAATGCATTATGCAAAATATCTAAGCTCTAGGCCTTTTGGGTCTTTACAAGAAGTTTTTTAATTTATTCCTATAATTCATTTTGGTTGCCGTGGCAACCAGATTTCTGCATGGAATAGAACAACTTTGGAAGCCCTTCACACAAGGATCAATTCTACCAAGTTAAGTCGAAATTGGACTAGTGGTTTTTCACAAGAAGATTTTTAAGTTTACCATATAATCTATAGAACACACACACAAACACACACGCACAGGTGAATCGCTATATGCCACCGCATCGTAAATGCTGCGGTGGCATAAAAACACGGTTTTCAGTATGCACATCATGTAAGTCAGGTACCGTTAATGTATGCTTACAAGTATAAACAACAAGTATCAACTTTGAAAGTGCAAGTAGCCGATCTTATTCTTTTTTACCTTTAATTAAACCGACTGGCATCAAGAACTAGTTAGTGATATATATACGTTGACAAAACTCTATTCAGATTCAATAAGACAATATTTGTTTGCTGTCTTAAAAATATAGATGTTCTAAGAAGTGTACACTTTGCACACTATTTTAACTATTTAACTTAATGACGAAAGCATTTGTAAATATATGTATATCGAGCTTTAAAGTCAGGTAACTTTGATGTATATCTTCCACTTTCCTTACGCATTTCCTTATTAACAATTAAATATTGTGAAGTAAGGCAATATCTTTATTTTATTAAAATAGTTTACAGAATAATAGAAAAAACACTTATATTATTCCTAAAAGGGAGATATGATTGGCGACAATAAAAATTATTTTCTATTTTTACTTCCTAATTTGGTTCAGTCGCAATGATTGAAAACATGGCAACTATTATGCCCATGGTTATTCAAACCAAACTATATCTTGATTTTGATAATGTCGTAACTGAAAATACACGCTAAATTTATATTAAAAGGGTTCACTTAAACTTTATTACACATGATATGTTTAGGAAAGAGCCGTAGATACAGGGAGAGTTATTCGATAGTTTGCTTTGAGATATCCTTTAGGATCGTTTTATGAGAACACCGTTAATGGTTATTTCATTATCTTTTTGCTTTCATGTGTGACAATATAGTATTGAAAATTAAAGTAATCAAGAAATACAAGGCGAAAACCTTACAAACTCGAAGATAAAAATATGAAAGATAAAAAATTATACAACATGAATCGACATGAAGCGTACGTCAAAAATGTATAGACTATAATCAAATACCATAAAGGTAACATGATAAACATGCAATGTATATACAAAGACGTACGGAGGAAAAGTTAAAAGTCAATTTGAAAAAATGCACTCTAACGATTAACTACAAAAACAGTCTGAAATTTCATACCATTGTTATAACATTTAATTGAAATTGTTTCCACAAATGGTTTTTAGGATTAAACAAAGCGGTAGTAGGTTTTAAAATGTTACCTGGTGGACATGATATACCAACAACGTCGTTTTGACTACAATTATGTATTCCCCTTCCGCTATGCGTACATTGAGATAAGGTGTTTTCATTTCCTGTACATTTGACATACTCTAAATGAATTGACAATGTGCCAGCGCCAAAGTATGCAGACCCGAATACCAGAGCATTATTTCTGAAAAGAAAAACGTGTTTTTTATCAAACAAACTCAGATACAATGTATATAATGTATATCTAAATATAAGTCATTTGTTTAACGTAATGCAATAATTTATTAAACGTCTTACACTTGCTTGACGTAAACAAGAACATGATTTCATTACTTTGAAAAATCATAAGCCGATCAATTACTATTGTTCATTTCATGTCTTAAACCTTTACAAAAAATAATTCACCTCAAACGAAAACGTTTGAGAAGTTTGTTGGTATTTCATATAATTGACTTACGGTGGATAATCCAGCATCTTACAAACAACACTTGCTGACAGTGTATCAAACCCATTATCGCAAACAGTTCCCCAAGACCCATCATGCCAAACTTCAAGTCTCCCTTCATATTGACTTGATCCGTTAACCAACCGAACTAAGAAAATAATTAATATTTCAAAATATCATTAAATAGAGCATAATGATTAGTTTTCTTCTTTTTTATACAAACATAGAGAAAATTATTTAATTAAAACAATTGAAAATCTTATTTATTAAAAAAGTAAAATAAAAACTTATGGGAGAATTCCTATCAATCAATTTCATAAACTATACCTCATACGACCCTTAAATTTCACAAAAAATATATAAAACATATGGTAGGCAAACACTTAATCTCAAAGTTAGATTACTTAAAAAGCACAAGGACTTGTATTTGTGTGTAGGTATTTGTAAAGTTTCTACCTTGAAAATGTCGTTATCAGACCGTAGTCATTTAGCTTTTCAATTATCTCATAAAATATTTAATAAAAAGCTTAATATGGTTGATTTAACCACAAATGAATGTGCAGTGAAACGGTATCTGTTTTAAAAAGATATATCCGCTTTAAGACAACACAATTGGCATGTAGTTCATAATAGAAAGTCAAATTATGACGTGACAAAAGTGACATAAATTTGTGATGCCCTGCAAAACGGACTCACGACCTGAAAACAAGTTTAGCTTTAACGCAACTTACATCCTTTCATGCAAACAATTTGAATTAAAAATGCCACAAGTAATTCTGACATATCTAATTGAATGTCATATTAATTTTGATATCTGCTTTGGAAGATATACAATGTACTGCTATTTATTTAGCAAATCTTCATGTACTGTGTATTTTGAATATTGCTAACAAATGTTTAAATGATATTTGAAGACTCGTTTTATAAAATGGTTTAGATAACATACCTACAAAATATCTATAAACTAAATACCATGGCCCAGTTGTTAAAAACTTTTGTTAAATATTAAATATTTAAAAAAAAACATATTGCAAAATCAACAAGATTCCGTCTTAAATTTTGTTGTTAAGCAATCCTGATTTTTCAACCATTGTTAATGTTAAAATAGTGTTAAATCAGCAAAGTGTTAATTCTTTGTTAAATATCTTTGTAAAAAAATTTGTGGTTCAGAAAAAATTACGTTATATTTTTGTTAAAACATCAACTTTAACAAAAACTTAACAACAAAATTAATTCACCTCCACAGGTGAATTAATTATATCGTTAGTGAAACAGAAAATTGCTTGCCCCCTTGCTATGCCCCTGTCAACTCACAACCATTTACTTTTATCACTTTAACACAGTCAAATGGGGCAACGTTTTAATTAACAAATAACACAATTATTTAAGAAAGTCCCATATACTATCAAGACTCAATGAAGTAAAAGCATAATGATAAACAGGTTTTAATTAGTACTAAGATAATCTTTTCAACCCCATGTCTCAACATTAAAACAACCATAACATTGTTGTAGTCCTGTCTGTGATTGACATTCTGGAAGTATACACTTTAACAAATATTACAATTACCTTACTCTTCTTAATCTTTAATGTTTAATATTCATCAATATGATAATACCATATTTATCATACATAGTAACAATGTAATAAACCATTTTATTGAACAAAGTTTTGACATTGTTTACTAATTTTCTGAAGTTCCAAAATAAATCAATTTATTACCTTAATTTACTACTAGACCAAGTCTGAAAAAATGTTCAGCCTGTCTAAGACTTTTCAGATGGTGTTACCCTAAGAATACAATTTAATTGCTCTACCCTACCGACTGTGCTATCGCCTGTTTATATATCCTCATCCCTTATAAGTGACCAGTTCTAAACAGTGGATTAAATGGTGGCTTATTTGTGCCATGTCATATTTACCCCTTGCGCATCATTGAGAAAAAGTTCAACAAAGTGTTTCGCCTTTGGGCCCTGTGAAGCAAAATGTTGACTGTGTCGAATTTTTGTATTTACGTCTCGTGAAAAAAGTCAACATTTTTTTGTACACAAAATGTTGACTTTGTCGTATTTCCGTCCGGCGCCCCGCAGAGCGAAAATCTGATGTGGCACAAAACAGCCACCATACAATAATAAATAATGCCATGAAACACAGTATATAATATTAGTAGAGATGTGTATAACTGCTGGAGATGTATCACAATAGATTATAATGATACCTTAGTTTAATCACAAGACAGTTTAATGATTATTAAAATTAGAAAATAAAAATGCAGTTTGTAATGTTAAAGTATGTTTTAGTAAATATATACTTTGATTACCATAGTTCTGTTTAATACAGATCTGTTGTTTTTTCCTGTACTTATTTATAGTCTAACAGGCACACCAACAGTACTGAATACCAAATGTCCTTTCCAAATTCTGAAGATCAACAACTGATCAGTAATATGTACAAGTAAAAAATTGCTGGGAAATGCAGCAATATGATTGTCACGGCGAAAATCAACCCCCCCCCCCCCACAAACACACACACAAAAAAACAACAACAAAAAAGCAGTTAAAGATATTGATAAGGTATCTCCAAATAGCATTGTGTTGAATTAACATGTTAACTTGTTCAGAAGGTTTTTAAATATCATAATGTAACTTGTTACATGAGCCATGTTTATGTAGTAGAGCAGAATAATTATCATTCTTGTGTACTGCATACCTCTTGAGTGAGATTTATACACCTATAAAGGTTCATGTTGATATATCAAAGGCTTTTGTAGTTATGCTCTGGACAAAATTAAGTATGAAAAATAACAAAGGGCAATAACTGAAAAATAATGCACGGTAGGTTAAATGTCTTGTGTGCTGCACTCCTCCTCAATGAGATCTATCCACCTATGAAGTTTCAAGTTGATACCTCTAACACCTTTTTGAGATAAGCTCCGGACAAAAAGTATGAAAAATAACAAATGGCAATAACTAACAAAATATAAAGGGTATCATTCTTGCGCACAACATTCCTCCCAAATAAGATCTATCCACCTATGAAGTTTCATGTTGACATTTCAAAGACTTTTTCAGAGATATGCTCCACTCAGGTGAAAAATTTAGTATAGAAAATAAAAAAGGGCAATAACTCAAAAATTATGAAGGGTAGAGTTATCACTCTTTTGCACTGCATACTTCCTGAGTGAGATCTATCCACCTTTGAAGGTTCATGTAGATATCTAAATGGCTTTTGTAGTTATACCCCGGACAAAATTAAGTATGAAAAATAACAAAGGGCAATAACTGAAAAATAATGCACGGTTAGTTATCATTCTAGTGTGCTGCACTTTCATTAAAAAGAGCTATCCACCTATGAAGTTTCAAGTTGTTACCTCTAACACTTTTTTGATATTCTCCGGACAAAAAGTATGAAAATAACAAATGACAACAACTCAAAAATTATAAAGGGTAAAGTTATCATTCTTTCGCACAACATTCATCCTCAAAAAGACCTATCTACCTATGAAGATTACATTGACATCTTAAAGTTTGTTGTTTTTTTAGTTAATTTATGCTCCACTCCGGTGAAAAATTAAGTATGAAAAATAACAAAGGGCAGTAACTCAAAATTTAGGAATGGTAGAGTTATTACTCTTATGCATTGCACACCTCCTGAGTGAGATCTATCCACCTATGAAGTTTCATGTTGATATCTCAAAGGCTTTTTGAGTTATGCTCTGGACAAAAATTGAGTTTGAAGAATAACAAAGGGCAATAATGAAAAAATATGCAGGGTAGAGTTATCATTCTTGTGCACCGCACTTTTCCTAAATATGATTTATCCACCAATGAAGTTTCAAATTCATATGCTCCGGACAAAAATGTAGACGGACGGACGGAAGGACAGACGGACGGATAGAGACTATTTCTATATCCCCCACCGTCTTTTCGGCGGGGGTAATAAAACATTTTCTTGCTCATAACTAAAGGAAACTCAGAATTTTGCTCACAATAACGAGACATGAATTCTGAATGAAGTTTGATGTTGTGGTAAAAACTGATTTAAGGACCAAATTAATTTATTTTACAACCTGGTATGGTGAATGTTTATTGTGAAATGCATATAGTGTTTTCGCATTTTCGCATTTTGAGGCGAAGACGCGAATATATACGGATGGCGTAAATCAACCACCATACATAATCCATTCAAGGCGAATTTCTCAAGCATGTCGAAAGGATGTCCGGAAATGTGTTAATATAAAACGCTGATATTTCGTGTGTTGATAAAAATACTGTTTAGATTCTATATGGTTTTGAAAAAAAAACCTGTTTCTATGTAACTTTTCACGGAAATGGGCTGTACAATGATTGCGTGAAAACAATAAAATGTCGGCTGTAGAAATCGAAAGGCATTTTGTCACGTGACTTTTGCCCATGCTACCGAAAACTACCCATCACAATATCACGGCGTTGAGACGCCGTGAAATGAACATTTGTTTTCATCTTTTACCAAAAGTGGGAGTAGAATAAGTCATCAAAATAAATGTAATGTAAACCCTGGATTCAAACAGAGATTTTTATTATAAATTAAAATAAAGTTCCCTGATTCAACATTACATTAGTTTCAATAAAGTTAGAAATAAAAATATGTCTCCCGTTTCGAGTCCATCTAAAATAGGGTTTTAAGAATTTCTTAACTTCTTCTAATTTTCTTTACATTAAAAGCAATCAGATGTTCTAATTGTTTGACAGGTTGTGCATTAGCTTATTTTATATAGATGAAAATTAAAAAAAATCAGTTGTACTTCATTTATTTACATAAAAGAGATGTTGATCCAAACAAGCACTATAATTTTACTATTTTATAAATATCATTACTGACTTGCAAACAATACAAATATGAGTGGTTCCTGTTTTCTACCAACCATACGAAGTGATTTAGTCTCGTTCCCAAATTATTATTCTCAAAAATATGTTAATATGTACAAATATGATCTCAAAATTATCAAATACTCCATTGTTTATATATAGTATATGAGTATCTGTTACAGTCACCATTTACATAATTTACAATATAAGTCCCTAAATGTCTTTGAAATTTTCAAATACATCTGTAGGAACTTAAAAGTTAAAATCCTAATTATGACGGGTAAAGTTGAACAATGCATAG